CAAACAGGTTAGTAGGACAGTTAAAATAGTTAATACATTGCATATTGTTGTCTTCATAGTGGTTATTCATAGTACAAGATGTAGACCTGGTATCTTGTCTAAACACTATTCAGCAGTGCATATACTAAAATTGGAATGATACAGAGAATATTAGAATGGCCCCTGCTCAAGGATGACATGCAAATTCTGAAGTGCTACATTTTTTTTTAAAGCCAGGAGCATGCATTTTTCCATAAATACATTATCTATTCATAGCTGGTTTTGCACAGTTATATGCACTAGCCAGTGAATTCTAAAAAAATTTTTTTGAAATTCAGAACTCCATAAAATTATACATAACTAGATACACTGAGTGGTTAGAGAATTCTATCAATTATCGTTCACATATACACACATCAAGCAAAGAAAGAAAAGAAAAGAACCTAAGTGGTACAAGACTAAGCCTAGTCTTACCTAAAGTTAATGACAGAATAAATGAGAACAATGTTGAGAAATGTGGAGGAGTCAGGAGGGATGGAAGGGAGCAAGCAGGGGAGTTCAATCAAGGGCTCGAAGACACAGAGAAAAGACAGAAGAAATACAAGGAAGGGGACCTTCTTCAGATGCACTAGTGAGTTTCAAAGATTTATTCCCAAGCTCAAATATAGTTTCAGGATTCCAAGTACATAAAGCATCCCAATGTGATGCCCCGTGATACACAGCTGTCTGAAAGGTGATGCATCATTTTTTTTTATTTGAAGATTCAAAGGTTAATAAAATAATCACACATTCGGAATTGGGCTGTCAGAAATACGTCACTTTCATGGAAAAGTAGTTTATTTATTTTCAGATTAGTGCATGAAGAAAAGTCGTAAGGTCTATCTTCTCACCTTTCTAGCCAAGAATTCTTTTAAAAGATCAAAGAAAGAACAATGTGGTTCTTGCCTTTGACGAGGAGCGTGCTGTTGCTTTGGTATCACGCAGACAAACAGCATCAGATCAAGATGATTGGGAGCAAAGCCCTCGGGACAGCTGCCGCCTCAAACCTGATGCGCGTCAGCTTTGATGATGGGTGTGGAGAGGACAGGGACAAAGAAAGCGGTCACAAATCCAGCCAAATTGTCCCGACTGATCCTCACAATCGCTACCAATGCCAATTCTTAGAGCCAGCATCTGAATAGGCATTGATGACTCCAAAGGAAAGATGTGCAAAATTGCTTTGGTATCTTGTAGATATCAAAGGAATGTATTTCAAATTCTCTAAAGACTTCATGAATACATGCGATTTTCTCGCACAACTGAAAAGGCACGCACTTGCGGGATGGGTCACACTCTGTGCAGATCCGTGCTGCCTGTGGGCCTCTTCTCGCTGAGAGACTGCCTCAGCAGTGCTGGGTGGCCAACTGCCAGTGGCGCGAAGTGAGGACACGCCATCAGCCGTGAGAGTCTGGCCCAGCGCTGCAGAGCTGAGTCCATGGCTTCGAGCGTGTATGTGTATTTTCTAAAGTTTAACAAAGCTGAAAGTAAGTTTTAAAATGCTGATAAGAGAGTTGGACTAGCTTCTATGTATTTAGTTTTATTATTTTTTAAATTATTTTGTAATTCAGAAACCAGAAAGAAGATGGTAGAATATAGTTTTGGAGGTAGAACAATAGAATTCATTTGTGAAAGCATTTTTTCCTAAATATGAGAAAACTACTTTATAATCTTTTATGTGTAGGTAATTACCTTATTTTCTTTTAAAAGTATTTTTCTGCATTTTCATAGAAAGATAGCAAATTTTATAAAGAAACAACAATTTCATATCAAGAATATAACATCATAACTTAAAAAAAGGCAAAAGCCGAGGCACAAAGAAGTAGACACTTAGGCATGAGGGATTAGCAGAAGTAGATGAAGTGGAATAATTGGAGTAAGCTGGCAATTAAAGGCTTCTGAGAACTACAGGGAAGGGACGATCAGGCTGGCGGG